TAGGCCTCCATTCTAATTAGCTTCACAACATTGTTTTGAGCTCTAGCTTTTCAGATGCAGTTTTTTTTTTAAAGAAAACTTATAAATCCAAATAGACATAAAATCAATTGGTGTGTGATAACAAAGGTCACGTTACAGCTGGTACACGTTTTAGTGTCACAATAATACTAGTAATGTGCACCGCATCAAGACAAAGTTCCACCATTTGTCTCGTCATTTGTAGGAGCCGCTCGGTTAGTTCAGTCGGTAGAGCATCAGACTTTTAATCTGAGGGTCATGGGTTCAAGTCCCATATTGGGCGATTCTATGTTTTGTTTTTTGTTCAAGACCCAATGCAACGCAAAGTGAGGCAAGGGGTATAAAATCATATTCACTCAATAAAAAAAGCACTATTTTTTATGCAGTACTTGAGATGTTAGCCTAATCATAGATCATCCTCACTCACCTCATAAAAGCCTTTGCTACCAAACAACATGCCGTTTTCTAGTACTGTGTTGATTTTGCGTTACGGGCGCTAAATCGAATTATTACGGTGCATCCCTAGGCTGTAAAACTAATTAGTACTTACCACAATTTTGTCGTGGAATTTTGAGTTCAAAGTACGGCTTTTAAAACAAGGCTGCTGGAAAATAAATAACCTATCTGATCAAAGCGAGATATTTAGCATGGAATTTTGAATTCAAAGTAAGGCTTTTTTTTGCAATACTACGCTTTATGTAAAATTTTACAAAAACTAAAGTTAATTGCATCACTATCACTAGTCTTGATTGACGAGGTTCGTTGTAAGGTTCTCTCTGCCATCTATTAAATATTACATGTTGCAGCGAAAGGGTAGTTCAAATTCGTCGACAACGTGTACCGTCTGCGAATGCCGCGGAAAAAACCTCCGGCGCCTCGCCGCCGAAAGCAATGCAATCTACAATGTTATTCCACCAGATATCATGGACTCTGCAACATTTAGGAGGAGAATTGGAAGCAATGGAAAAAGAAATATAATTATGACTTGGTCTGGAGCGAGAAAGCCCCGAATATCAACTCACTGAATGTTCAAGCACGCGATTGATGACGATGGCCTTTAAGAGTCCAAACCACGAGCTATATTGATCATGAAGAGGAAGATGTAAACGATTGGCAAGGTATAGTTATGGGTATAAAGATGAAAAGGTATTGCATCGGCAAAATATCGTAAACGAAATTGTTCCAGCAAGAGGGAGAAACTTCAGTACCGAAACGCTTGGCGACTTTGTAGCTGAGTTAAAAAAGAACCTTGACGAGGAGCTGCAATTATTGTTTACGGCTTTTTTACGACACTCTCATCTGCGATCGATCATTCTTGGGATGAAACATGAGCAAACCACAAAAGCAGCCTCTTAGGATGAGAGACCTCACATGTAAATGGGAGCTTAAACAATGACGACGGCGAAGCCAAGGACTATATGCCTAGTAAAAATTGAATTTAGTATATTTTACTCACGATGTCCAGGACACTTATGGCTGTAAAACCTTGCTCGGGCTAAATATGTAATGACAGCGTTAAATTCTAAATGAAGAGGAGTTCGTGTCAAGATTATTATTCATCGATCTTAATCGATCTGTGAACACCGATATCCATATTTTTCGTCAGTCTCAGTGATTCATTTGTAATCAATGCAACCGTCGTGGTACACCTTCTCTAGACAATGCAAAATTTGGTCATTTCAGGTTCTTGTTTTGAAGAGAATGCAGGATTCGACAAGTGTGAGAAATTTTAAACTAGAGATTAAACTGAAACTGTGTTATCAATCTGTTTGCTCTTTCATCAGTTTTGAATGCAGGGGTTTAAGGCGCGACTGTTCACCGATAAGCAGACAATTTACTCTTATCGACACGATCAGTTTATCCTGTTCAAGGGTGATTGTTATAGAGACATAACTGCATTATATATAGCTTTTATTCAAGTGTTAATGAAAACCTCAAAGAGCTGAATTTGATGATATAATTAACTGACACTCATTTAACTTCTAAGTTACAGATTCTGTTTTCAATCTTTGATCATCATTGTCTCTGTTATTCTGTCACTACATACATTTACGTTTCCATTCTAAATCCATCAAAGTCTATGAAGGGTTCAAGGCCTGTTATTACCAGAGTAGCGAAATGTGACGTAACCATCCCCTTTGTCGCATGTTCCTGTCTCCGCATTCCACGTTTCACTCGGAACAAACGAACCGCCACCGCCTGACATGAAGATGTCCGCAAAGCTTCCGTTAACACTTCCACCAGAGTATCCTTCCCCTCCCCCTGGTACATAATTAGATGATGCTCCAAAACCACTAAACCCGCCATCGCAGCAGTCACGATAATCTTGGGATGCGCCTCTTCCGCCGTTTAGAAATGATTTGGCTGCCGATTCATTGCACTGTATGATTACCTGGCTGTGAAGCATTCACCATCACCACTGAATCCTCCGCCACTGTATCCTTCAACTAATTCCCACCAAACACATGGCTTAACACAAATCAACCGACCGCCAACGGTGCCAGGCATCAATCCCTCAGCTTCGCCAGCTTGTCCTGGTCGGCTGTCTCTTTTATATTGCTCCCCTCCACCCCCGCCAGCAATACTGACGGGGATACTGTTGGAAGGAAAAAACACAAATAATCCCCCACCAGCACCACTTCTGTATTGCGGAGGACGTTCAACACCTCGCTGGCCCACCAAAACAATCAGTTTGGTTCCCTCCTTAACATGGACTGTACCGTTTACCCTCACCCCTTTACCCCCGTATGATCCACTGCCTGAGGCACCGCACATGTCAACGTAGTAGCAGCCCGTTAAGGGTGCACTCCATTCTTGCAGACCATTTGTCACGTTTATATTTTCAAGGGAGGAGCGTTCGTACTCGGTATTTGATGTTGGACCTTCCTTGCCAGTAGTGTCAAGTGTAGTGAAGTAAAACTCAAGTTCTGAAAAACAAAACGACGTGTGTGTATGGATTATTGTATAACCTCGTAGATCCCCAAAATCTCACAAACTCACTACTGCGACAAATTCACCTTTATCAACTTCAAGTTGATCAATAGCTAAGTGTTTCACTTTATTTGATGAAAAATAAATGTTTCTTATTGACAAAACTGGTCTTGTTTTCACAGCTAATTACTAAGTGGAGGAAATGGAACCATGCTAAATTTTGACAAGTTTTAATCAACTGTGTTGTTATTGATTTGCGTTATTAAATCAATACTTGTCCTCAGATGAAACACCATTA